GCTGCCGGTTCCAGAAAAAACTGCTTGCGCACTCGTTTTATAAAAATCATAACTCACTCGATATAACTCGGATCATGAAATTCCAAAGGCTAGAGAAAGCTAACAAAACGAACTATATTTCATATGAAGAACAAATTTTCAGAAAATAATTGCTTGAGGTCATAACAGAGGAACCTTACCTCCTTCAAGAAAACGAAAATGTGGAGAAATGAAAGAGGTGTTGCTCGGTTCTTCTACTTCTCTCCCTATCTTGCTTGAAATCCGATTTTCTCTCTATTTGCTTAAGTTATTCAGGTTTTTAATGGTCTAATACAGCTAAGGAATGAAACACAAGAACATGATAAGAGGGGACATAAGATCTAGATCCCATATAAACCTAAAACTAATATTTTACCAACACATGATGCCAAAAGAGAGTAACATGGTTCTCTAACTCATGCATGAGTATGGATTCGGTTTTGGTACTTAAAATGGCTGAACAATACTTATTAACTTCGTTTTTTATGCTTATTAAAATGATTGAGAAGAAAATAAATTTTACGGAACCGAAATCCGACTTAAAATCCGACTATAATTGAAAACCGAAGAATTTGACGACAATCAATTTTTCCTCTTCTAATTCGGTTTTTATGGATAAAAATACTATTACAGAGATGGTAATATAATAGTCTTAAGGTCTTGTTGATTCGTTTTGATGTTCGGGTCGCAAGGGTTCTAAAACGAATTCAAACGAACAACAATTCGGCTTACGCGATTAAACCAAAAATTCAAACGACGATTGATAAAATAAAATCGAACGAGCTATATAATCACAGTATCCATATAATAATATAAAATATAATCTCAAAATTAAGATTCGATAAATAGAATAATCCGAGAAATTCTATAAATCGAACGGGGCGCTACAGGTAGATATGTAATGCATATAATAAAATTATATATTGCAGAAAAAACTGCAGTGAAAAAAAAAATAAAAAAATAACTTACTTTAGATCCATAGGGATGAATGCAACCATTTAGATATCGTCAATTTTTATTTGTTTCTTTTGCACACTTTGAATGTCAACAACCAATCCTATAACATATACAATAAAAACATCAATATGTTATAATTTAATTATTTTGAATAAACAAATTAAATTAGAAACAAAATGACATAATCTTACCGAATAACATCGATTCATCGATTTTGTTGACATATGTAGAGTTGCAAAGTCTTTGAATTGAAATCGAAATACAAGAAATTCTTCCTTGCACTTTGTAAATATAGTGCTCCCGTGCAACATGATCTCAAAATCAGCGGATGTCGAATGATACTTCCCTATATTGTTGTCCACTTGATAATTATTTATACAAATGACCATGCCCTCCTTAAACTCCTTTCTCTAAACGCAGCCAAGTTGATTGCCCGTAGTCATGTCGTAATGCGATTACCCTAAACATATACGAAAAAACAATCAATGAAAAAATAATTTGTTTTAAAAATATAAAAAAATGTATATTATATATACACGGAAATATATGTTTGATATTTTGGAAAAAAAAAGTATAAATAATTTGGCTTACAGTTTTATCATGTAGAACCAACTCAAGATAGGATTGTATGTGCTGCCTAGTCTTGGAGAAACATTTTTTCAGTTCGAACTTTAAGCATATGTCTATTAAACCTATTAACTTGTTTGATTAAACCAAATTCTTGATTCATTGTTATGAATAACACACTAATTAGAGATTTTTTTTTTCCACAGGTGGTTGAAAGTGAAGAACACGCTGATTCAATATTTGGAGATTTATAATTTATAATTGCATTTTCGCATTATATGTAGAGACAATGTGAATGAAATCATATCATATCATTATATGTAGGAACAAATATGATCAGATTTATATCGCATTATATATCGTATTATAATTATAATTGCATTAAAAAATAGATTTTCCCTACAACAAAACACTCCAATTAGGCGTGAAATTAGATTTAATTTTGGAAGATTTTTTTTTTTTAATGACCGCTCAAAACTTTTTTTTATTGGTTTAGTAATAAATAGTAAGTTATAGAATGCATTAAATAAAATAAGTAATAAGTAATTAAATAAAACTATTGATGGAAATATCATGCATTAATTGTCATTTGACTTTTCTACCTACTAATTTTGGTAAATATGATGACTTATTATATAAGTATAGATATATCTCTTCCCTCTCTATATATTAATTCAAAACGTGTTGAGCTTAGGTGGCAGATTCTCACGCTTCGGATGTCGACATGGCGAAAATCTATGCTTCGTGATGTTGTTTTTATATTAATTTTGCTTTCGAGTTAGGTTTGTTATTAGACATAAATAACTTTACATATATATTTATTAACGCAACACTCATATTGTACATGAGAATTAGTACTGGTAGATATAGATTTGAAAACAATCCGCCTTTCTTTCAAATTTTTTTTTAAAAAAATTAAAAACAAATTATTTAGGTATATTTCAATTAAATACCAAGCCTTTTTAGATGTATATAGATAATATATTTATTTCATTAATAATTTTGGAGAATACAAAGTGTGATCAGGATTGCAAGATGCAAAATCAGGATTTGACATGTTATTCTCTACGTAAAATATTGCTATAAACAATGGAGACGCCCGTATACAGTCATTTCAAAACAAGAATTAGATGCCTAAAACTTGAGGAACCATTTATCACTCGTCTTTAGATGCTGGGGCTACTAAGCTACAGCACCTAGGATTGCAAAGAAGATTGACCCACGTGATAAATTCTGCACAAAAACCAAAAGCCAAACAGGGGATGCATTGCATTGCATTGCTGATGGAAATATGTATATATATATATGACTTAATTTGTGGTAAGAAGTATACTGTATTTCTTGGCATAGTAGCAGCATAATAGAAAATAAATGAAATGAAAGAATATGCATTAAACTAGAGTGAATTAGGAAAGAATATTTGTTCTTTGTATGCATTTTCTCCATAACGAGAGCAAAATCATGAAGAAGTTGGTGAAATGGTACCCGGTTTTAGTGATGGTAGCTATTGATCAGGCGCTCGCTGTTAGCAATATACTTTTGAAAAAGATTGTAGCCGATGATGGGATCAACCTTTGCGTATTCATAACTTATCGCCAGTCGATCTCTGCAATCTTCTTATCTCCATTAGCCTTCTTTTTGGAAAGGTTTGAATTCTGTGTTGAACTCGTTTGGCTTAATAGTGAAAAAAAATGCCACATGTTTTTAATCCACTGCATCTGATTTGCAGATCTAAAACCCGGCCAAAGCTCACGTTCACCATCTTGTGCCACCTTTTCATGAGTGCAACCATTGGGTAAAGTACATAATAAATATTATCATTGTTTAAAGTAAATAATTCATCGTAGAAGTTGATTAAGAGTCGATTTGTAGGGCATCTGTAACTCAATATCTGTTCCTTGTGGGCGTAGAGTACACGTCAGCAACATTCTCATGTGCCTTCCTCAACATGGTCCCCGTACTAACATTCCTAATGGCTTTACCATTTGGGTATTCGTTCTCTTTAATTCACTTTTTGTGGTTTTTCCATTTAGTTATCAAAATATGGTTTTGGTTACACTTCGTGACTCGGTTGATTCATCAGTTTAGAGAAAGTGGACGTAAAACGCAGTAGCGGGAGAGCAAAAGTGTGGGGCTCTTTAGTATGCCTCTGCGGTGCTGTTGTTTTAATTGTGTACAAAGGGATACCCTTATTTCATTTCGCACAGCGTATAGAGCTTCTGCAGCATTCACACGAAAGATGGGCGATTGGGTCGGTTGCGTTATTAGGTGGTACACTGTGCTGGTCATTGTGGTACATTCTCCAGACAAGCATTGGTAACAAATATCCGTGTCACTACTCCACCACTGCCATCATGACCTGCTTTAGCGCTCTACAATCTGCTGTCTTCAGCTCCTTCATAGACAGGGATCTTTCGGTCTGGATTTTGAGGACAAAATCTGACATCTTTATTATTCTTTACACAGTGAGTGAGTGAGTGAGTGAGTGAGTGAGTGTGTTTATTATGCTTAATAATAACTATCAACTTACTATTTGCACAACAAACAAAAATTATTCCGCAGGGCATTGTAGGATCGGGATTATGCTTCGTGGGGATGTCATGGTGTGTAAAGAAACGTGGGCCACTTTTTACGGCTGCTTTCAGCCCGCTTGTCATGATAATGGCAGCAATGTACGAAATTCCGGTTTTGCACCAACAACTTCATCTCGGAAGGTGATCACTCACACCAAATCAGATAGTTGTTGGTTTTACTTTCACTCGTGAACTTAATCAATATCATTTTACGTCAAACAGCGTATTAGGATCGGCTACCGTTATTGCTGGGCTGTACATTCTGCTGTGGGGTAAGGAAAAAGATGATCAGAAGCAAGAGCCCAACTTAGCTGGGGAAACGGGGGAGATTAAGGGCCAAGAAGCACCCGAGTTCCAAGTCGTAAAAATAGTTGCTGATGAACCTGAATGCTCTTGATGTGGACCACCAGCTTACATGATTATTTTTGAGTTATGTTGTCATGCAATTAAATTGCTGTCTATCTTACAAGATTTGTTATTTCTCATAGGGTTCGCTTCTATCTTCTTTCATTTTCGTTTTTTTTTTTTTCGTCTCCCGTCGCTTTTCTTCCTTTTAAAAGAATCTTCGTAGGAATAATATGTAACTGTAGTTGTTGAAGTAGAGATGACAGCTCCATATTCCAAGAATATGGACGGACCTTCTTGGTTTTGAGCCGATCTTGAAGTCTTTTGGGAGCAATTTGGTTTTGGATCTTGTACCAAAGGATGTCCGCTAGGGGAGACTGTTGTGTGATCTTTACTAATACTAAGAAGATGCACGTACTACGCACGTGGTATTTTTTTCAAATTATATTTACTATTATGTTTAATGGTATCTTCATTGTGCTTAAAATAATGATCACTATTGTGATTAACTCAAATTTGCTATACGTATAATTTATAATGAGTATTTTTTATTTATTGTCGATTGGAAACTAACAAAGTATCTCAAAATTATTCGTTCTCAATTATTTTGATTACAGTGATTGCAAGTATAATATTTCATAATACTTAGATATATATAGTTATTCTCTAGTTATAATGACATAAGAGATACATAAATATTTGAAAATGTCTTTAAAGTCGTAATTATTTCAAAAAAAAATTTACTTGAAAAGTTTGGGAATAATAACATCTTTATTGATTAAATATACCCATCTATCTATACATCTTTTCCGACATAAATTATTGTTGCATCTCCTAACATTGTCATACATCCATTATCTTCATTCTCGGATTTTCAAGACTATCCTAAATATGAAAATTTAGTAATTCTTGTTTAAGTGAATTATAAAATGATGATTCTTTCATATTTTATTTTTATCTTAACATTATTTTTATACATTCGTCAAGATTTTACATAGTTTATTTTTCCTACTTTTGCTTAAAATAATGATCGTTAGTATTGTCATCAAATGTAGTTTTCTAATACCATCGTTTTGTATCATACTCTTTGAAATATGACTCGAATTTGTTATAACTATAATTTGTAATGATCATTTTTTATTGTTGATTGGAGGCTAAAACTTTATGTTTGAATAATTCGTTCTCAATTATTTTGATTATAGTGGTTGCAAGTTTACTTATATTTGCAAGTACAATATTTTATAATACCTAGATAAATGACATAAGAGACACATAAATATTTGAAAATATCTTTAAAGTCGTAATTATTTAAAGAAAATACATGATAAAAGCTTAGGAATAATATCTTTATTGATTAAAGAATTACATCTTGTCCAACATAAATTATGGTCGCCTCTCCTAAAATTGTCATTCGTCGTTCACGGATTTTCAAGACTATTATAATTGTGAAAATTTAATAAGTCTAGTTTTCATGAATTATAAAATGATGATTCTTTCATATTTTTTTTTCTCTTAATATTATTTTTATATCTTCGTCATTATTTTATATAGTTTATTTTCTCTATTTTTGGGAAGTGATTTGAAACATTTAATTTATGAATGATTTTATAAATAATATATGCTAAAGACAATAAATTTAAAGTAAATATACTATTTATTTTTATTTAATTAATTTTAATTGTAATTATTTTCTAGTAAGTACACGTTTTGTAAAATTTAAGATTCAAAATAGAATTTTAGTTATTTAATTTATGTAATTAATCTATTTTTTATTATATTACAATTCAGTAAATGTTATTTTAATTTATGTAACACATTATTATATAAGAACTTTTATATTATACATATTATTAACAGGTAAACTTAAATCATATTATGCATTTTGTTTTAGTGAATAATTTAAACGAATATTTTGGTTAAGATCATATCTCTTTTACTTAACAAACAACTTTTTTTCCATAGAAAGTTGACATATTGTATGTTAGAATAATTATTTTTGATTCAATCATTCTTAAACATATACATGTTTACTAAATTGTTCCTCTTTAATTTTTTTAATACTATAACAAAAAAATTGCATGGTAAACAATATGAAATTTGTAAATTAAAGATAATACTTTTAGTGGTCCATTAATGATTTACACTTATGGAATATCATATATTTTATATTTAAAAAATCTTAAAATATTTTTTCTCTGACATTTTAAAACACATTTAAAATAACCAAATCGAAACCTAACGTCATATGTGCATTAATTCAGAATAATATAATTAACAATAAATTATTATTTAAAATATATGGATTTGCGTAGGTAATGTTTTGTATGTGTAAGAACTTAAAGATATAATTAATCATAAAAAATTAAAGATAATAAATAAAAGTTGTAACTTTCTAACATTAATAAGAAAATTACATTAATAACCTTAAAACTTATCTTTTGATGAGGTTATTCTTGGCAATTCAAAAGTTTCAAGAAACAAACTCTTCCTTTTAAGAGATATTATATATTATAGATAAACTAGTACAACGCCCGTGTATTACACGGGTGCTTGTTAATAATTTTTCTTAAAATTTAAAATTAGTGAGAAAAAGTAGGTGAATATTTAAATAACTTTATAAAAAAATATATATTAGTATATATTTAGTATGACACTTTTTATTTGTGTGACTTACTTGTGTTCTATTATAATAATTTATTTATTTTCTATATACAATATGGATGTCAAATCGAAGATCATGAAAAGATGATTAATTTGGTATATTATATATGTAAAACCAATAAGAAATACAAAAGTTATCAACTTTTAAAATACATTTTAATTCAATAGCTAATTGAAGGAAACAAATCAAAAGTCAGGGATATATTAGTCATTTAGTGTCTCACTATGTAAAATTATAAAGAATTAAAAGGTTATATTAGTACAAGTGATATTAAAATACATAAGTTAGCTAAATAACATTAATGGAATGTCCGAACCTAAATTAATAATTATTAATATATCAATATTATTTGTCCAAACCTAATTACGAAGCATGATTTTTCGTCAAATAGGATTACGAAGCACCAGAAGCA